CCTTTTTTGTCTTTTTTACTGACCAGTAACGGGATTGCAACCCTCGGTGTTGCGCCCGCACCGCGCTCAGCCAGTGAGCGGGAACCGGTCTCCACATGGGATCCGAACCCTCGGCGGGAGCGCCGCCACGCTCCCAAGCGGCGCACTCTCCAGTGCGCCACCGGGCCGGCCCGTCAGACAGCACTTCTGCCTCTCAATTGCTCCACTCACAATGGTGTCACAAAGGAAAAAAACCATTCCCGTTGAAGAACTCTGTGTGTGTGTGTGTGTGTGTGTGTAGTGGAAGAAAAACAAAAGAAAGGGAGAGATGTGTTTCCTGTTGTTTCCTTCCCTGGGTGACATATGGCTGTATACACAAGAGGGAGTCTGCAGTAAGTCAGCTGGAGTGACCATGGGATGTTTCTAGGGGAACTTTTGCTCCATTCTTGTTCATTAAAGATAGAACACAGGAAAACAAATTGGTGCTTAAGTGGAGCTTGCAAAGGCAACAGTTGTTAAACGTATTGTTTTGTGCATTTCAAAATCGTGCTTACTTTTCCAACTGCAGCCCCAGCTCTTATACTTAACTTGAAGACAGTATGGCACTCAGATCTTTTATTAAAGCAGACATATAAGGTCAGTTCTGCATAAAAATATTATCTATTTTTAAGGATTGTTTCCACCCCTATCTCAAATGTTTTAAGGCTCAAAGAACTCCTGGCCTCGTACGTTGTATAATGTTTGAAAGCAACAACTGCAAAATCAATTTTTATCATGATTGGTCAATGTAGAAATGATAAGGCTACAGGGATGTAAAATGAACAATATGGTTGATGAGACACTGGGGCAAGGTCATGCATTAATCACCTGTTTTCTTGTTCTTGGTGGGCATGGTAAAAACCCCCTCTGAAAGAGAAAAGAGATTAGTGATACGATGGGTCCTTGTTTTTATTTTGTGAGCTTGGTTTTTCTGCCTTCCAGATAGATCTACGTAGATGTCCCACTGTCAACTCAAAATCAAGGTGTCTTTGTGGAAATTATTTCTCATGATTCCCCAGTGATTAAAGGAAGTGTTTAGACTCCTCCCTGGTGCCTCATGACCTCTGCAATCAGCACAGCAAATGTATCACGCCTCACACCCACAACTTCTTGAGATGACGTGGAGCAGATTTCCATGCCATCATTTCAACGTATGTAGAATGCCCCGTTTTACACTTTTGCTTGGTAAAACTGTTCTTTTAAAACCTAGCTCAGTGCAAATGGTTCCACAAAAATGTCCTCAGTCTCAAAGCCAGGAATGACCTTCCCTGCCCCAGCCACTGTGTCCCTTCCCTCTCATTGCAGCATAGACACACTGCAGTCCTGTGGTTATGAATGTGCAGCCTCCTTCCTGGTTAGGAGCTCACACCTTGGATTCCCTCATGGCTTTAGATGTAGCTCAATAAGTATTTTCTAAGTAGAGACCTTCTCTTTATTGTTAGAGTAGCACAAGATGTGACACAGAAAGAGCACTATATCCGGATCAAAGGACATGGGTTCATTTGCAACAGAGATTCTTTCCCTGCTTTGTCCACATCAAGGGGTTGATATGAGGAGCTAAGGAGTTGTTTTAAAATGAAACCTATTTATATTCTCTTTCAAGAATAAGCTTGAGGTGGCTTATTAAAAGAAATATTGTTGAAATATCGTATATTTCAAGGAATTACCCATACCAATATATTAGTTTTCGATATATAATTCTACCATATTACTCTTAACATTGGCCCCCAAGGTTTAAGAACCCTCTCCTCCCATTTAAGTTATTTCCATGTGATCAAATTGTGCGACTTCTTAGTGGCAGAGTCAAGGCCACAATTTACTGTCTACCTTCAAAAGGATGAGTTAATGCACTCAGGGGATTAAGCCATAATATAAGCCAGCCAAGGTAACCCCTGGATGGATGAAATGTTAGTAATGACATAAGCATTGTGACTTGGGCAAGGGGCATCATGACGATTTTCTGGACCCTGGGAAATTCTGCTAAAGCTTGGTGTTAGCGAATCATGAAGCTAAGTCCTTGATTTAAACCGTCCGTCACTAGGATACCTCCATCAGGTGCTTCAGGGGATGCCCGCCGCAGCGAAGGCTCAGCTTCCAGTTCTTGGAAGCTGCGTAGCCTCCTTCAATTTCAAATTTCCTGGGGGTGAACCACCTTCCATCCTCACTCTGTACACAATTCTCCGAGGCTCCTGTAAAACCAAGACAAGCTGAGCTCCCGACTGGGAAAACACCTAAACTTGGCCCCCAACTATACTGCATCTGGAGCCACCCACGGGCTCAGGATCAGTAGCAGGAGAGTCTGCGCTTTCCTCTCAGACATCAGGGGCCCCACCCCCAGCCTGAAGGCCAGGGCAGAAGAGGACTCCATGCCCTGTGTGTATATATTTCTTTGACCTTTATACAATGACAGGGAGAGTAATTACCACCAAGATTTACCTTTTAAAAGCATTTTGCTATATTTAAAAGAGAAACATGAATGGCCCTAATGAATGAGTAGATTTCTTTCTCCTCCTTTCTCTGTGCCCTGCCAGTCCATGTGACCCCAGCTGGCCATGTGGAAGCTGTCACTACAGCTACACCTGCCTCATCTTGGACAAAGTTGGTCATCCAGCTAATGGCAATCAATTATTTCTCATATTTTGGATTCATGGCTATTTTATGTTAAAAGTAATTATGGAAATATTATCTAGTGGGAAAAGTTAAATGACACATATGCAGTATAGTCATGGGGTAAATATTTATACTTGTTGGTGCCCAAAGAATTATATTATGGGAGGGCAAATCAATCATGGCAGAAGAACACTCATAATGTACTTTACCAATTATAATTTGCCAAGTATTTTATTTTATTTTTATTTTTATTTTATCTATTATTTCATTTCTTCTCTTAATAATACAGTGAGGCTAGTTTCAATTATTATTCTCATTTGGTGGAGGAGAGAGTTCGGGGCTGAGACTGGGAACCTTGCCATAGATGAAACAAACACTCTTGGTATAGCTGAAACTTGAATGCGGGTCTTTTGATTCTAAATCTTGTGCTCTTCCCACTTAGCATAAGGCCGTACAGGTGCTATAGGGAACGGGGCTGTGAAGGTTGATGTGGAATTTCTCAGGTGTGTACATTTCCCACCCAGGTGTTGAAGTGTTTGTCCTTGTGCTAGACAGGCATCCTGTAGGCCTTTTCCATGGGGAAGGGGAGAGGGCCTGGTAGGCTCATGTTTCATGAGTTTGAAGTGTAAAAATGTCATTGTTACTCCAACCTGTCCAGGGTGTTGTGCAGAAAAGAGTTAACATGGAGGGCCTGACACTATACTTAGAAGGGCCTATGTGCAAAGTTCACCCGTGGATGGCATCTGGGAATTTGGATTTCAGGAGGGTTCACACCAGTCCCAGAACTGATGAGTAGCTTACTGTGCCTGAACTGTCTGTGCATACAATATGGTGTATGCTGAACACCTGCTTTCCTCCTGGGAGTCTGGAATTTTGGTATGGCTAGGCAGAGGATGCCTGTGTAACTAATACCTGAAAAAACCCTGGACTCTCAGGCTCAGGCCAGCTTCCCTGGTAAACAACATTTCACACGTGTTGTCACAATTCATTGCTGGAGGAATTAAATGAGTCCCATGTGCTGCACTGGGAGAGGACTCTTGGAAGCTTGCTCTTGGTTTCTCTGGACTTGGCCCATGTGCCTCTTCCTTTGTCGCACTTTGCTTTGGCTCCTTTCACACTTATAAATCCTGGTCATAAGTGTGACCATATACTCAGTCCTAGGGGAGATCCTAGCAAATCACCAAACCTCGGAGACCCCCCCCCCAACACAGGAGTCTACTCCCTAAACACTATGCTATTCACATGGGCGTTTTTCAGTTGAAAAGTGTAGATCATGAAACTCACCTTGTTTCAATTTATCCTTATACAGAGTCCCCTTCGCCTTACCACAGGTCACGGGAAGTTCAGGACTTTGAAAGTTAATATTTCTATCTCTGGGAATTCTTGGACCTGCAAGGAAGCATGTTTTTTTCACCATCTTCCTCTAAAATTGTGTATGGTTTTTCCCAACCCATCTTGAGGAGCCTTTTTTATAACTTAAATGTTTTGGACGGATTTTCCCCAAGAATTAGCTATATTTCAAAGTCTTTCTTTTATGGCAGATTAACACCTATAGATAAATTCACCCTCCCCTCCCACCCTCTAAATCCTACACAAAAGCCTGGTGTGGCAGGATCTGAACTCCCAAGCTTGTTGGCTACGATTGCCTAACAATGACTTTCCTCCTGATAGTGTTTTGTTTGTTTGTTTTGTTTTTTGCAGCTGGCTGGTAAGGGGATCTAAACTCTTGATCTTGGTGTTATAACACGGTGCTCTAACCAAATGAGCTAACCAGCCAGCCCACTCCTGATGTTTTGAAGGGACATTCTTAGCTATATTATTGCTTTGAAATTATGCAAATGGAGAAAATCCCCACAGATTTTAGTCTTGTCTCCCGATTTGAGGCACTGACTGGGGCAACAGAGAGCAGGATGGCAGTGGGAAACCTAATGGGGCAGGTTCTGTCTCCCCCATTGTCTTCTGCTTTGCTGCACTTTTCCTTCACCTGAGCTTTGTCTGTGGCTGAGCAGGAAGCTTGGGGTATGGGGCTCTAGAAAAAGCTGAAAATTGCTCAGGAGAGAGGGCCTCTGCACACCACATAAGTGGGGCACTGGGAATCTGATTCCCCTGGAGCAGGTATCGAAGGTCTTAAATTGAACTTCAGCAGCAAGAGCTCCTGCCCCTCGGCCAACATTGAGAGGGATCCATCAAAGGCACAGCTGGAGCTTCTCTCGGATGGGAAGGGTGGGCTGTCCATGTTCCTTCCAGAGTGAGATCATATATAAATAAATTATTAGAGCTGGGGTGGGCCTAGGAGGGCACCCAGTCCAATTCACCCACCATCTTTCCCACATCTTCCCAGATGAGGAAACTGAGGCAAAAAGGACAAATGACCGGCCAAAGTTACACAGTCAAAGGAGTTTAAGAATTAGACCATGGGTCCTGTACTACCATTCAGGGTCCCCTTTGGTGGGAACCTGTGGTTTTCTACATGGGCAAGAGAAGGGTAAGCTAAATACCATGTGGATTGCACACTT